CACACACACACACACACACACACACACACACACACACACACACACACGATTGTAATAAAGCTAAAACACTGCAGTAGTGTATGCTATACCATATGGTGTATTTATTTGTTTAGTTACTCTTATAAAATTTAAATTGAAATTTGTTGTTTCATGTTTTGCTGTCTATTAATAATTATACTACACACAGTTGAGCCAAAGACAAATTAAACCATAAAACACTATTTTTACCTATCAAATATAATTTTTAAAAAAATGTTGTCCTGCAGCGGTGGGGTAGGGTGGGGTGAGAGACATCTCTACTATAAGGAAATGGATGACACAGGTTGCCACTCACATTCTCATCACACCTTATTTTCTGCTCATCTCGTGGTCGTATCTACTATTCTACCACAAGTGTTCTTGTTACTCCCAATCTTTTTCTCCCTTTGTGTCTTGCTATATTTTTCTCACCCCTTTTTCCTGATGTCTCTTTTAAAAGTAATCATCACTTTTCTTCAGGAAAGCCAGAGACTTTACACTATCCTTTTGATCCTAGTGTGGTAGCACGCACCTGTAATTCAAGCTTCTAGTAGGTTAACAAAAGATTAAGAAATGAAAGCCAATATGGGCTCTAAGGCAAGACTGTCTCAAAAAGGGAAGGGAAACAGAAGCCCTTTTCTTCTTCTCATGGGAAAAAGTAAAAGAAAGACAACACAAACAGCAAGACATCAGAAACAACAGAGTCAAAACCCAGGAACTGGTGACCATTGTTTGGCAAAGTTTACCCTGTGCCAGGCTCTGCACAGAGCCCTCCACACAGTGCTTCACCTTTACATCCTCTCTGAGGAAGTTCTCCACACTGTTTTATAGGAACAAAGTCAAATATGAAGTGCTAAAACAGTTTACCCAAGATTACGGACAGATGATTAACTGGAAAATCTGTAGGCTCCAAAACACTTAACCCTTATTCAAAAAGCTGATAAAATTTCCACAAATGACAATTTGGTGATACTGCACCACAAGCCTTGAAAACATGTATAAACTCTAGATCCAGAAAACATTCTAAGTCAAAGTTATCTAAGAAATGACTGGGAGATCTACAAAAATAGTCATGACAGTATCTTTTAAAGCAACAAAATCACTAAACCCACTAAAATACCTAACATAGTGAATAAATTCTGATAGCTATATACTATAAACTATAAATTAGAGTAGTGAAGTTTACATAAGAATGTCATAAATGATCACATTGACTCTTCTGGAAGGCCTGTACTGATAACTTCTCCACTTAAGAGAATATGTGGCAAAGGCAAGTCCATGATGCCCTTTCCACACAGCTTCCCGTTCCAGACTGACAGAACTCTCTGTCTTCTAGACTCTAATCGGAGGTCAGGAGCATATATTAGCTTTTATTCCAAAGCACTTAACATACATTTGTTCTGATACTATTTTTTAATTAAACATTCATTCACTTGAATTTATTACAGACATACATACCATGTACTAGGTACACTCTGAACATTAGGGCCACAATGCTGACTACAGCACAAACACAATCTACTCTCCTGTACCTTATAATCTAATTGAAGAAAATCAAGAAGCTACAATACTACCAGGTAGTAAGAGATGAAAAGGCCGTTCTAGATGTTGAGGAAGCTCACTTTATAAGGTGAAATTTAGAATGAGTTCTAAATAATAAAAGGGCTGGGTATTTGAAGAGCTAGGGGTAGATTTCTAAAGAGAAGCAAAAGATCTAAAATCAGGGAAAAAGCTGGCTCATGTATATATGTGCTATATACATAAAATACAGAAAAATGTCTGTAGAGATAGATGCTAAAGTATTACTAGTAGTTATCAAATGTGGCAAGATTATAAATGTCTATCTTTTCTGCCTATCTGTACCTTTCTAATTTTCTATGAGAAACATATTAATGTTATAATGTAAGAACTGACTCAAGGTTTAAACAGTCAGAATGAATTGACAAGCCCAATACAGAAAGACATCATTTATTTAGTAGTTAGAAAATACAGCTGACCCCCCCCCCAAAAAAAAAAAACCCTTTGGGATTAAACAACTATAGTCCTAACTAATCTTCAAATTTAGTCTAGCATTTACTATAATTTATCTACCAAGCAATAGTATTTCCAATATAAACAATTTAGTTAACATATATACCCAGTTATACAACACTTACTTGGCATAATAGATAAATACTAACTAATATAAAGACCCTAGATAAAACCATTCCAAATGACCACATACAAGTTATAAAAGCTAAAGAAAATATTTTAAAATGCACGCCTTTAAAATATACAAACAATGTACTATGTGTTTGAAAATTCCTTTAAAACAACAAAAGCCCAGGCATGGTAGTTCACCCTTGTGATTTCTGCACTCAAAAGGCACAGGCAGAGGGAGAATGACCTCTAAGTCAGCCTGGTCAGCCTGGCCAGCCTGGAGTACAGAGTCAGAATGAGAAACGACTTAAAATAAACACAGATAGTTAGATAGTTAGATGGATGGATGGATGGATGGATGGATGGATGGATGGATGGGATGAAAGAGAACCCAATTAAAAAAAAGCCTTTTCATTTATAAACATCATTTAAATATAACTATATAACATTCATAAAAGCAGATTGCTTATACTGGTAACTAAAAATATAATCCATCTTATACTTCATATAGAACTAGATTGTAATTAAGTAAAATACTTAATTATATTTATTTATATTTTATACTATTTTGTATTAGTTTTGTAAAACTAATCTAGAGGCTGAAGGGATGGCTCAGAGGTTTAGAGCACTGTCTGCTCTTCCAGAGGACCTGAGTTCAATTCCCAGCAACCACATGGTGGCTTGCAACCATCTATACCCTCTAATGCCCTCTTCTGGCATGCAGGTGTACATGCAGATAGAGTACTCATATATATGAGTACTCTATCTGCATGTACACCTGTATATATATATATATATATAATAAAATCTTAAAAAAGAAAAAACTAACCTAAATATGTTTCCCAATAGCAAATCAGTAATTTAGACAATTTTCCCAAGAAACAAAATGTCATTCATTATAAAGCTTGGCCTTAAAATGCTCCTCTAATCACACCCTGCTAAATCCTTTTGTAATTTCATGGGAAGGGAACGTAAGAATAGCTCTGAAAATATCAGGTTTTAAGTTTCAGAATCTATACAAAAAGTGAATTATGACCTAGATCTGCCACTGAAATTAGCACTGAGAAGGAAGTGCCTTAACAGTTATTTTCTATATTACTATTTGTTTATCAGTGGTATTTCTACATGGCCAAGTCCTTGTCAATTTTATCCCAAAACACTTTTGTTTCAAAACAAAACAAAAAAAAAGTGTAACAAAGCCACAAAAAGAAAATAAAATGAGCTTTAAATTAATTTTACTCTCACAAATTTCGATTTCTCCTAACTAATCCTGTTTTTCAAATGTAGACTGTTTTTCTCAGGCTGAGATACAGAAGCTTGCCTTTTGTGTAGATAAATTTGAGACCATTCATCTCCTACTTGCTAATGAATTTACATGAACAAACAAAACTTATTCTTAAACTGCAGTGGAGTTTAAACCGAGAATGTCCTACGCATCTCTCCACTCTGTTATTACATGAAGTCGGCCACCGATGCTGTTTGAGAAAATGCCACGTGCCTTGCTTTGAGTAAGGAACATTATTTAAAAGTTAATGTCTACAAAAGAGAGAAAAAAAATGGAGGTAGTCAACACCTAAAGGCTTCATGATCTTTTCATTTCTGGTACAGTGGTTTAGTTTTCCCACAAAAAAAAAAAAAGTGTTCAGGAAGTAACTTTCATAGTTATTTCTCCAGGGTGTAAGAGCTAAAACTTACTGTCATCAGTTTCATTGCTGGTTTATAGCTATTGTGTATACGTACATGGGTGCCTCTGTGGAAGTCAGAGGACAGCTCTGTGGAAGTTGTCTCCTTCCACATATATATGTGTTCTAGGGATCCAGCTCAAGTCAGCAGGCTTCTAGCTCCACATCCTTTCCCCACTGAGGGATCTTGCTGGCCTGTCATTGCTCTCCTCTTGTTTTGTTTTGCAGCGACAGCAAATAAACCTACTCTTCTTCACACACGCTGGGCAGGTGCTCCAGCCCTCACATCAGCTCTTAAAAACAAAGAACCAATCTATACTCCACTTATATTAAGGAAAGCTTTTTACATACCACACTGAAACTTGTCTTACTACAGAGAAAGACAGGGGGGACATTGATCTAAGAAACGAATTGCCAGCTCTCTTTCAAAAAGTCATACAACTTTACCTAGAATACATGGAAAAGTCCTCAAATTAGTTAACATCATCTATCATCAAATAGCCTAGTTTACTTATCACACTAGTTTTCACTAGTGCAAAAAAAATTAGCATAAGGGGTAGGATGTAGCTCAATGGTAGAGTACTTGTCTACCATTCACAAATTTCTGGGTTCAATTCCCAGGACCATCATATGTACACGCACACACCTGAACTGTATCTTAGGAACTATGGTACCTTCCACTTCTAAGTATCATGTGTGATAGATAAGAAAAAGCAAACAATAATTGTTCACATCGTATTAATCATAAAGAAAATGAACTAAAGTTGTATTCTAAAAATAACTTTATTTTTTTCTTTTTGTTCTGGAGATAGGGCCTTGCTAAGTAGTTT